TGAAGCAGAGAACATGAATTTATATCATGAATCGTTNTATTTCATCTAAATCTCTAAATAGAGTTATATATATCTTTTGTGAATTTAATCATTCTTTGATTCTTCAAAAGGTGAGATCAGTGAGTTGGAAATTTGAGAATGAATGAAGCAGAGAACATGAATTTATATCATGAATCGTTGACTTGAAATATGAGTCGAGTAACTATTAAATATTTTCTATTGAATTGTTATAACGATTATCTCAGTATTTAGCGATGACTCTAAACTTATATGTGTGTGATTGATTCATATATATGATAATTGAAGAAAATGTAATTTAATTTGGAGAGAATAACTAGATAGACAAAATGATCATTTATGCATGTACCTAATTATTGGATCTTGAATTGTGAATAAACTATGTATACTGTAGATAAGAGAAAAATATTGAAGATATTTTAGCTTATGTGATTTTGCATATATCGAGTGCAGTATTTTGTTTTTAATAAAAAATGCAAAGACTAATAATTAGATTGAGTGATTTATGATTGACTGGACAAGATCTAATTTTCAAAGCTTGAAAAATATATCTTAAAACATGTCCATGTGATAACTCAATAAAATCTTGAACTCAATTTCAATTACTTTAAAAGATTTGATCTTAATAATAATAATAATAATAATAATAATAATAATTAAAGTTCATGGACTACATGTGAAACTAAATCAATAATGGCCTAATTAGACTTCTACTTGGATTTAGTGGTGGCAATGGACCGAGCCGGCTTACCCGCACAAGCTTGCACGAGCCGAGCTTGTGGCTCGTGGAAGCTCGGCTCGTTGTGTGTGTATATATATATATATGTATACACATTTTCTAAATATATGTATATTTAAAAAATTGTTTACAAAATATATCTTGACCATTGCCTTTTTGATTGAGTTTTGTTTTTTGTTTATCCTTTTTTACTATATTAAACCATATATATATATATATATATATATATATATACGCGCACACACGTACACACACATTTTGTAAATAATTTTTTAAATAAACATTTTTTTTTTTAAAAAAAAAGATAAACTCTCCTCTTTTATCCGGATTTGAGACCGGTTACTTCAATTTTGAGTGGGTGGATGAGCAGCTTGGCTCGTGGCTCGTATATATATAAAAAAAAAATTTAAAAGTTTATTTTGACCGAAACGATCACTGAAAATTCAGTGAATATTCAATGACCAAATAGTCACTGAATTCCGTTTGGTCACTCAATATTTTTTTATTTGTTTTTTATTCTTTTCTTCATTTCTCTAATTTTCTTTCCCTATAAATATCCACCCATTACAATATTTTTTCCCCATCAAAACTTACTATCAATATCAATCTCTCATTCTCTACTCTATTCTCTAATCAATCAATATCAACAATATCATTTTATAATCTCTTCTACATTTTTTTTACATTATTATCTTGATTTTACAATTCATTTTATACAATACTACATAATTTTTTTCATTCACAATTCAAAGCAGTATGTAATTGTTGGATCCAACAACGACTAGCATGGCAAAAAGATATTGGAACTACCCACCTCAATCGTCACTACAAAAACTGTACGGCCAAACATGAGCTTCTTCCAGCTGGTCAAACGCAACTATAGTTTGATACTCTAAGCTCCGGTGCTACTACTACTCCACTTTCTACGTGGATGTATTCAGAAGAGCGAAGGGGAATGGTGAAGTTCGTTGTCGCG